TACAACCTAACCAAGACCTAACGGGCCTATGATTTACAAGGATAGGGAATTAGACCAAAGTTTTACATAAGTAGGTTATATCCAAAAGAGAGGAGTTGATTAGAATCTATTGGCGATGAGAACTACCAGAGTGAGTTCTTGACCCCGACAGGAGACGTTCTATGTCCCTCATGCGCCTAGCTCTTGCTTGCTGAGCTCGAAGTTCTTTTACTTCAGCTCAGGTTTCAGTGAGTTCCCTCTGAAGAGCTGCATTATGAACTAGATCCATTTCGTAAGTAGACTCTAGTTGGCGAATGCGGACAATGTTAACGCCAGAGTTGGCGTCAATCTCCAAGACTCGATTGACAGTTGACTGACCCAGTATCGTGTTCCGAGAAATCCTACGAACCATGATAGGTAGGACCCTATCTGCACAACATCCCTCAGTGAGGTTGTAGAAACTTCTATCCCCATTGTAGGGAATGGGTTGACCTTGTTCCTAGCTCCATGTATTCAAGTTTGTTGCCTACAAAGGTGTGGGTCCTTAAAATACGGGTCGGGGGTTATTTGGGGCTTGGCCTACTTGAGGTAGGTTGTTGACTTTGGGCTCGGAGTCAGATCCATCCAGGAAGCCTTCTGCTTGATGATCATCCAAATGGATTTGATGCTCATCATCGGACTGCTTCAAGCCATCCAACATTGTCGTTGGGTGGAAAGTACGGGTCGTCATGATGATGGAATCCAGCCATGATATCCATGAGAAAAGGGGTAAGGAAATAATTAATAGACGGTCTAACTAGATAATTATAAGGTGATCTTTATCAGTTACTCCTATACTTGTCTACAACATACTAATAAAGACCTTTAATTCTTAGATAAGTAATTATAGTAACACCAAATACTCCTATAGTATTTTAAGTTTAATGTGATGTTCTACTCTTCTTATTGTGGTAGTGTTGGTAAGTTTTTAGACTTGTTGAAACCTCACAACCATCCTTAGGCACATGCTAGTCACTCCTCGGATAATGTAGTTGATCAGGCTACATCTTCCCAGGGTTGACCATATGTCTCTAAGTCTACTCGTGCTGCTCAACAATCGTAATACTTTTGTGCTGTCCTAGTGACACTGATTTTAGTATGAATGCAGGTATGTATACTTAGTTAAATATTTATTATTTAAAAGTATAAACTATTTAACATAGTATTTTAATCCCGCTTGTGTTTATAGTTCGTATATCTTTTATGGGTTGATACACTCAATTCACTATAAACAATGCTCCTATACCAATCTGTCAAACCCCAAAACCTGAATGGCGGAATCGCTCGGGGGTGGAGGACGTCATGTACAGTATCACAACAATGAATAGTAGTAAACAAGCAACAACATAATCCATTGCATTAATAATATAATTTCATACATGTGTGTTCTGTCAAAGTTATAAACACCAAAAATATACATATCAAAATAAAAGATGAGTCCTGAAGGAACTCCATCTTCTCAAAAGCCCGACACTTGTACCTATCTAGTGGTGACCTAAGAATACAAGTTATTTTGAAAGTGAGTATCAGCGTAATGCTAGTGAGATCATAAGTATATTAATATCTGTGTTTGTATGAAAGCTTTTGTAAGATGTTTGGAAGATGTAATGTATAAGTTTTGTAAAGTTTGTATTTGTTTGAACTATCCTAGAAAACCCTATGTATCCTACTAAAGGTAGCCTTCTACCAAGGAATCTAGGAACTGTGTGTGTTTCTTGTAAGAGTGTGTATTTTCCCAAATCCGACTATCATTAACTAAAAATATATTTTTTACATTACTGTGCATCATGTGAATGTTCACGAAGTGAATGTAATAGGAAAAATATTATAGTATTATAGTGTTGTATTAAGTAACTACTACTGTACTAACTACTTTAAACCAATTGTTATTTAAAGTACCATGTGATCGGCTTGTACCCTGCTACCGACTCAATAGTAAAACGACGATGTATGACGCCGTAAGAAATGACATTTGGAACCCGTAGACTTGCAAGTCCCACAGTAGCGAGCAGCAAGGTGTAGGATAGTCAATCCAGTATAGATCTATACGCAAACTCATATGCTCCCCAAATTAAGAAGATTCTGGATACAAAAACGGTCATGGAAGGTAGTGCCATGACCCGTTTATTGGCTCACATAACTGAATGTAGTGTTATGTAATGTATGTGCTAGCTGTATTGTGTGTTCTTTCTTTGTCTAGCCTGTATGTTTGTTTCTCATCACCATGTATTATGTTATTTTCTCATCACTATGTATTATGTTTGTTTCTCATCACTATGTATTATGTTTGTTTCTCATCACTATGTTCTATGTTTGTTTCTCATCACTATAAGTTATGACTCATGTATGAACTGACTCTTTGTATGATTCATTGTTCTATTATTAGTATTAGTAAAACCATAAACTACGCCTATTGTAGTTTACTAGTAATATAACTTGTACGTATGAACATGGGAGCATACCCTTGCTACCTAAGGGTACGGAATGAACTGGAAGAACCTTTATGAATATATATGTACACATGATATATAACTATTATTTAAACGACTTTTGGACGGGTACCCGATATCCCACCAGACCACATCTCAAGCACGAAAAGGAAATAGGGTGGATAGTCCTTCCTAAGCCTTTTAAACATTACTTATATAACTATACATACATAGACATGAAATTGATAATATAAAATTATAAAAGAAGTTTCATAAAAGCGTTTGATATGTAAAAGAGTTTGTAAGACAATTTGAAGTAAAACTCTTTAGTAAAACAATTTGAAAGTAACAGATTCACTTGTTGATAGTTATTAATCACATGTGATTGAGATAATAACTATCGTAACTTTACTTGTATCCCCCCCCCCCATAAAAGTATTTATAAGCATTTGAAAAAATTTAAACGGTTAATTTATGGGTATGAACTCACCTGTATTGAGTGGATTGGATTGAAGTGTTGGATACGATGCTTAGTGACAAGTGGAGACTTGTACACACACAACGAGCCTAGTTATCATATAATCAATATATATATATATATATATATATATATATATATATATATATATATATAATTAGGCACTTTATCTCTAGTGATATAAGTTAAGACACTCTAGAACATCGTAACCCTTTGATTTAATTGTTTAAAGATCACAAGGTTTGCATCTAAGTGTTGTAGGGAACGGCTAGTGTATTTGGGGTTCGAGGAACACTCCTAAAATGAGTTGACTCCTTAAAGACCAACACCCCTTGAGTTTACGGTCATAAAATCTTGAGTTTACGGCAATAAACTCCTAACCGTTTGACCATTTGTTCCTTTGAAGACTTCTAAGCCAATCCAAGCATTCCTACTTCACGATTAACCCTTAGGAAGTGTTGTGTGGCATCAAAACACTCCTAAACGGTGTTTACGGTCTAAGGACCATTTCTCCATGAGTTTACTACTTTAAACTCATGAGTTTACTACCTTAAACTCATAAGTTTATGGTATTTGGGTTTTTCAAGTCCTTTAGTTGAATCATGGCAATAATCTAGGCTAGATTTAGACATAAGGAATAACCATGGGAATTTTATGGGACATTTATACACCTTTTCGGGTGTTTACATTTTTGAGAGAACCCCAAACCGTAAACACATAAAAATGTAAGGTTTTGGTGCTTTTTGTGTGATAAACGCATCAAGGATGAATCTAGACAAGTCCCTAAGGCATTGTGAAGCATCTAGGCACCCTAAGGCACCACTTTGCACCTAATCTTGGTGTTTACGGTTTTGGGTCCTCCCAAAACTGTGAACACCTTTATCTTGGTGTTCTAGGGACTTTTCATTGATGCTAACATGTAATACAAGCTTAATAAGACTCAAGGATGGAAGTACTTACTATAAGGAAGCTTGAATTGAGCTAAGAGTCCAAGAGCACTTATTTTGTGTTCTTGGTGTTCTTGGTGTTTTTGGAAATCTAATGAAAACACAAAAATGGATGGATGAAAAGGTGTACAATCACTAGATTAAGTGTTATATTAACTTGAAATGGATAGAACACTTACAAGTTTGAAGATCTTGAATTAAATCTTGGATGATACTTGAGATGTGTTTTTGAGTTTTCTCTTTTTGGTGATTGGGGAGTATACATAAAATGACTAGTTTGCGGAGTAAACTCAAGCTTAAAGCATGAGTTAACGGTTTTTGGAAGATTTTTTGGCCCAAACATAAAAGTTTGGCCGTCAACTTCTAAGACACGAGGTGTTTGCGGTTTTGAAATTTCAAGACTCGAAACAACACTTCCTTTCACCCGTTCGTTTAAAGAATAATATTAAAATAATCAAACGAACTTTAAATTTGCTAAAAATAAGTAATAAAGTAATTGACCTATAAATTGAAGTGATTAACTTTTGGGTTTGACCGAATGAAAATATCGGGTTGTTACAGTGGTAGGGGTGAAATAGTCCTCATAACCGGTTGAAAGAAACCGAAGGGTAGGTCGAGCACCCATATATGCTTGGAAGGGTAGGTTAAGCACTAATATATGCTTGAAAACTTAGGTCGGACACCCAAATATGCATGACAGGGTAGGCCAGGCAGCCAGATATGCCTGGCAATATGTGTTTATGTGGTATGATGGGGGAACTCACTAAGCTTTGTGCTTACGGTTTTCAGTTTTGGTTTCAGGTAAATCTTCTTCAAAGGGAAAGGAGCTGGCATGATTGCAGTGCATCACACCATTATTAGGAGATATACTCTGATGATGTTTTATTGTGACATTTTTTGATTGTTAACATTTGGTTTTGTTATGAGATGATACGATGAATGTTTTTAACACTAATGGTTTCATTAATATTTGCTTTAAAATGAAATTTTTGGTCTCAATTTTTGAGATGTTACAATATTATCATCACGAAGAGGCGATTCTGGTAGTACTTCGTCATCCATAGAATCTTCAGCCACTCTTCTCTTCTTCTTCTTCTTAGAAATTCATTTGGCCATATCTTCTACTCTTCACTTTTTAGATGAAGGAGACACAAGAGTAGGAAGTTCACGAATAACCACAACTTTGCTATTCAGCTGGGGCTTGCGAATATTCTTCGACTTAGCATCTTTACCACTTGGCTTGTGAGCCATTTTCTTCAAACGTTTGAGAACCCCAGACTTCAAAGGCATAACTTCCTTTGATGGATTAGAAAATTCATCGACAATTGGCATAACAACTTTCTTTGGAGAACTAGCAAAAACATTTACAACAGGCTCTATACTTGGCTTCGAAGGACTAGCCTTTACGCCTTTCTTAGATGCCTTACTCTTCTTTGAAGGACCACTAGCATCTTTTGACAACAACACTCCAGTTCCAATCGAAGGATTGATGGTGGTGAGATAAGCCACTAGAACTGGATTCGTAGGATCAACTCTACGAAGCATTGCATCAGGAATACGAGCAACTGTTGGAAATCCATCCTAATTATCCTCCACTGTTTTTGGATGATGATACAAAAAAAATTCAGCATTTTGTTCATCTTCAAGAACCGCATCAGCCTACTTTTCATATACATACTACAAGATTAAACTCTAGTATCGAGCACATGAAATTCCATCGACCACGTTTTTGTTGTTGATGCTCTTGACAAACTCGTCCCATAACGGTGTCGCATAATCCACATGAAGATCGTAGTAGATACCTACAACCATAACATTGATCTTCAACTTTGCTTTATCAAGTCCAACACTTCGACCCGTCAGGCATCAAAGGAACTTTCCAAACAAGAACTTCCATATGCAGGGAAAAGAGGATTTCTTGAAATCACTTATCTTGATTGGCGGTGGTTGATACCCCATCTCGGTGAACATATGAAGCACTTGTTTATTCGAAACTTCCTCGAACGGACCAACATTGGGAAGTTTCAATATCTGAGCAAACACCTTCTTGGTCAATGTGAACTTCTTCTTAGTAGCCATTTTAAAAGTAACCACCTTGACTGTTGTGTTGTACATAGCAGTTGAACTAGCAAGAGATAACCACGACATCAGAACATAAAACAATGTTGACATAGTTGTAGATAAAACCTAATGATTCAAACTAATGATGAACATCTTCAAATTGTCTGGATATTAAGTAACATCAGGTTGAACGTGGCAGTTTGTACTTTGAATTTTCATTAAAGACTGAGAAGTAATGTCGTCTGTGGTTTGTGATTGATCAACGTGTTCATGAACGGCCATCATTGTTAGGGTTTTGAAAGAAATTAAAGAACATAATGTATTTAGGTAAAAATATATTTGAGAAATATTGATGTTGCAAAGTTGGAATGAGATATCCCAAAACCCTTTTATACGTAAACCCCATTTTTAATTTGAAGCGATTTGAGCATTAAATGCAATCCATGTGTCACCTTGAAAACCAAACCAGTAGCTGTAAAAGTAGCCATGTCTGAAAAGTGATGATAAATTTTTCCTTGAAAACCGGAAGGTAACTAGAACGTCACATCAATTAGTCTGTTCGTTTACCCCAAGAAGACAGGAACCGTCAGTAACCTTTCAACATCGAGGCAAGGGTCTTTCACTTTTGGGTTGAAAAGCGAAGTCATACACCAGACTTTTCGAAATCATCAGCCTGAGTTGGTATCACCCAAAACCTCAAGGATTTCAGTGTGTGTATGTGTGCCAAAGATTGAGATGCGATCAAGATAAAAAATATTTTTGATCTGTGACGTCAATAAAAAATCGACATAAAGCAGAAGATCCCATGCAAAGATTGCTTTGTTTTACATCAAGAGAGATTTCGAACAGCTTGTGTGTGTTCCTATGAATTACAATCGAATACTTATAGAGAAGTATCGAAGGGATTCTTTTATAAGGCTTCGCGGGTGGATAACAATTTCGTTACATATCACAACTCAATATGAGTGTGAGAAATTGTAAACAAAATTACCTGTTTGACTAGTATAGTTAGTGACAATTATGGTGAGAAAATTATTTCAAGTAACAAAGAATCGAATTGATACTTCTATGGAAATCATATTCCAAAAAGTATAAGTCCAGGATCTTGTTGGGTAAAAATGTTGTGGGTGTCGAACATTTTAGCAAGACCACGTAAAGAAAAAGAATATGACTTTGATTATCGAAAAAACATACAGAAACAAATGCTTCATTACAATCTGGAAAAAAAGTTCCCCATCAATTGCTATAAAAGTTGGAAATATCGGGTTTCACTTTCATCACGGTCTCATGAATCCAGATCATAAACACATATTATGTACATACATATAACCTGGTTGGTTTGGACCATAGATGTCTTGGGTATGTGTCATTGTGTGTGATCGTGTAAGAATAGTTGATGAAAAAGATTGGTTAAAGAATTGAAAGTATCTATGTTATTAGTGGAGCAAGTAGAAAAGTCTTAACTCATTTGACAAGAGTAAAGTAGCTCAGGGACTAATGTGAATATAGGTTGATTGGGAAGGAATCTTCGTGATGAGAAATCCATTAAAGCTTCGAAAAAACATTGAGTCACAGAAGCTTGGGTCGACATGCTGCAACATGCTTCTAGGGACGCCTAACTAGTGTAAAGTATAAAAGATTTACCTTTCTCTAGAACTGCAAAACATTTTCCACTAGATATCTTCACTAGAAAGCTTCACAAACATGTTAAACACACAAAATAGAAGAAAAAATATATATTTTTTCCTTTTTGTTTTTAGAGAAAATAACAAAAATAAGAAAATATTTTTGATATTTTTGGTTTTTGAATGAAAATAAGAAAGAAAAGAAAAAATGTACCAGACATGCGAAGTGTAAAATGTCGACATAAGGAGTGAAAGTATCGACATAACGGAAAGATTGAGGTAGAGAAGCATATACTAAATCGTTCAGAGGAATGTCGAATGTGAAACGTGTTGAAGCATTAACTATGAATAGTAACCTCTGAATGGATCCGTGAGAGTTCGACATCACTTGTCATTCTGACGAATGTAGACCAGGAACAACATTCGCGTCTAGCATGCCTAAGCCCGATAAAATCCTTAGAAAATTCTTCTCGTCCAATGGTTTTGTGAAAATATCAGCAAGCTGATTAGCAGTTTTCACCAAATGAACTTCAATGTTGCCTACCTTAACATGATCTTTGATAAAGTGGTAACGAAGTGCAATGTGTTTTTTCTTTGAATGTTGCACCGGATTATGGAAAATGTGAATGGAACTTTGTGAATCACAATACAACAAAATCTTCTTCATGTTGATTGCATAATCACATAGTTGACTTTGAATCCATATGATTTGAGAAGTGCAAGCTACATCAGCAACACATTCTGCTTCTACTGTGGAAATCGAAACATATGTTTACTTTTTCGATTGCCAGCAGACAAGCTTCCCATCCAAAACTTGACACCCACTACTTGTGCTTTTTCGATCAAGTTGACAACCACCCAAGTCAGCATCCCAATATGCTTGAATGAAAAATATTGTTTTTGAAGGATACCATAATCCTAACGAAATTGAACCATTGAGATAGCGAAAAATGTTCTTGACAGCTGTGAGATGTGGTTCCTTGGGATTCGATTGGTACCTAGTACAATTACAAACAACAAACATTATATCGGGTCGACTAGCTCTTAGATATAATAATGAGCCAATCATGCTTTGGTATAATGTGAGATCAACAGCCGACTTATCCAATGAAGGAACAAGTCTTGTTCCAACGACGATTAGCACACACAACTTGGAACTAATCCTTATACCAAACTTTTCTAGTATATTTCGAGAGTATTTCACTTGATTGATAAATATGCATTCTCTGCTTTGACGAATGTTTACCCAAAAAATAGATCAGTAGAGCCAAAAATAATATCATCAACATAAATTTGAATAAGCACGACATGATTCCCAACTTTCTTTTGAAAGAGAGTGGGATCAATGGATCCTTGTTTAAATTTTGATGATTTTAAAAATTAGTAAGAATAGCATACCATGCTCGAGGAGCTTGATTAAGTCCATAAACAACCTTTTCTAACACATAACGATGATCAGGATGTTGAGAATCAAAAAAACCTGGGGGTTGCTCGACATGCACCGTTTCTTCTAGAACTCCATTAAGAAAGGCACACTTTACATACGTTTGATAGACGTCAAAATCCTTGTGTGCTGCATAGGCCAAAAAGATTCGAAAAGCCTCGAGTCTTGCGATATGGGAAAAGTTTTCTTCATAATCAATACCTTTTTCTTTCGAATATCCTTTTACTACAAGCCTAGCATTATTTTGAACAATGTTACCTTCTTTATCAGTTTTATTTTTGAAAATCCATTTTAAACCAATTACTGATACATCTTTAGGTTTCGAAACAAGTTGCCACACTTTATTTCATTCAAATTCAGCCAATTCTGATTGCATGAAACAATCGAATCAGGATCATCCATAATCTTTACTGATTTTGTTTAATTTTAGAAATAAACACATTGAATATTCAAATCTCTTGATTAGCATTAAGTACATCATTCTTCGCATGAAGTTGAGCTGTATTTAACACACCAGCTTGTGGATCACCAATAATTCATTCATATGGATGACCTTGTGTCCATCTATCCATCGGTGAATATACATGACCAAAATCTAAAGGTGCATCTTCGAATGTTTCATCTATTTCAGATCCTTCACATGCAATGGACATATTATCTATAACATCATGAAAGATATCAGTGTGAACACTCGAAGTATTTGAAAAAGACCCATTTTCGTCCCCTCAATAATTGGATTGTTATTATGATGCTCCCCCTCGACATTAACATCCATTTGATGTTGCTCCCCCTCAACGCTACTAGTTGAACTCAAGCGCTCCCCTTCACTTGAGCATTGGGTATAACCTGTACACTTATGTTTTTCATTTGAGTAGTGGTCGAAGAATTGGAATAAACAACATCCTGAGTGATAGTTGAATCATCAATATGCTTCAATGCTTTTGCTTCTTGCTTATCATCAGCATGAACTTCTGCATGTATAGCCCTATCAGGAACACCAAAACTGAAATCATAATCAAAATCTAAAGAATTTAAACTTTGATTTTAATCATTAAATTCATTCATAATTGGCTTTTGTTCAAAACACTTTTCAACTCTCTTAACATAATGATCATCAAAATTAAGATTAAAATTTTCTTCAATTTTCCTGGTTCGTTTCTTTAACACCCTATATGCAACAAAATTATGAGAATATCCCAAAAATATTCTTTCATCAGCTTTTAACTAAAACTTCGAAATGTTATCTATGAGATTCACAATGAAACATCTGCAACCAAAAACATGGAAAACTTAAAATTTGGTTTCCTATTGTTAATGATTTCATAAGGGGTTATATTAAAATGACGATGAATGAAGGATTGATTCTGAGACACGCTGTCGAGAGGACTTCAGCCCAAAGATATTGTAGAAGCTTC